ACCTCTAGCATTATTTCTATCATCAAGGCCATATTTTTCAATTATTGATACTTCCTCTTTGTTTCCAATCATCAGTAACTATTAAAACATCTTGATTTCATGTTGGATCAATTTCTGACAGAAGAAGTTAGCAGAATTCTTGAATTTCATCATATCTGCCTTCAGTGATTAGTGCCTAAATTTGAATAATGGTGGTATCAAGTGGTCTTCCTTGTACACATATGGATATTATCCTATCACAAACAGCATTATATACTTCAAACAGCATATAATTCAAGAATTCAATGCCATTCTTCTTCAATTTGTTGTTCCCGGTATGGTAAACCATATGATTGTCAGATTCAAAATGACCAATACCAGTCTAATTCAGTTTACTAATGCCTAGGATATTGATCTTTATATGTTCCATTTCATTTTTGACAACTTCCAATTTTCTTAGATTTATACTTCATACATTCCATGTTCACATTACTAAATGGATGTTTACATTTTGAGTTGTGCCTGATCAACTGAAGGTCCAGAATGCTTTACTCCATTCATGTCATCATAGTCGGTCAACTTCGAGGCAGCTCTTCTCCAGCCATATTTCAAGTGTCTTCTAACCTGTGGAGCTCATCTTCCAGCACTATATCTGATAATATTATGGTGCTAATGTTTTAATATTCAGTTTCTGGTGCTAGCTGACAGTGTTCCACTGCTATTCATAAGGTTTTCATTGGCTAAACATTCACAAATAGTCTGCCTCTCCGTCCTAGCCTATATTAATCTCAGCTGAAACCTGGCTACCATGGATGACCCTGCAGGTATTTATAAAATATCGGTGGCATAGTTTCCAATATCACAGCAATATAAGCCACAACAGTATGACAAACTGGCAGACAGGTGGTGGAACTTGAATATATACCACTTGAATTTGCAACCATCTCAAGAACAGATTTAATGCATTAGACACTAATGACTGAAGACCAGAAGAATTATGACTTGACATCAAGAACACCACACAAGAAGAAAGTAAAAGGTCATTTAAAAGATAGGAAAGACCCAAAATGGATGTCCAAAGAAATTATGAAACATCTCTTGAACATAGAGAAGATAAAGCAACTCAAAGAAATGATGAAGTAAAAGAGCTGAATAGAAAATTTCAAAGGGCAACTCAAGAAGATAAAGTAAAACATTATAATGAAATAAATGCACGGAGACACTTAGTACCTCTCTAGCTGAAATATCTGAAGGAAAAATTCAAGCCTCTATTTGGCAATATTGAAAGATTCTATGGGCAAATATTGAATGATACAGGAAGCATCAAAAGAAGATGGAGGGGAGAGAAAGGAATAACCAGATATATCAACATG